CACCCTGGCGAGAACGCTCTGGGAGGGTTCTGAGCGAGGCAAGGAGAGGACCAACGGGAGCAGACATCTTGTCGGTTGTAGGTGTTGGTTTATGATGGAAAAGTGATGATTTGAGATGAAATCGATGGATATGAACGTGTAGAGTGGAGAGATTGATGATGAGAGGGAGAGAAAGAGATACCAAGTTTCCAACCCCTACAGCTTATATAGCACAGATCAGATGACAGATGAATGCGGGGTTTACAAGGTTTACTGGGTTAACAGCGGCGGGAGGTGACATCCGGGGCATCCCTGTACTTCAGGTGGCGATGGTCTTGAGAGTTTCAGCCAGCGAAGTCATCGATGAGGTCAATCCAGATCAAAGATTTATCCCAGAGTTGTAGCCACTCGAGGGAAAAGACACTATACGGGCTGTCTTACAATTATATTATGGTACCTTCATTCATTTCTCTCCCAGGCATTGAACGATCGAGGAAGATGAGTGGGAAAGGCAAAGAGGTACATCTTCAGGGATGGGCTGATGCCGTCCAGAGTAACCCACCCTCCCCCTCCACATGCCTATCTTTCACATAACGTACCGAGTACATCGACAAACGATTGGTCCAGGTATGCAGCACCGCCCTTGATTGCCCAACTCGTGTGCATCATGATTGAGCGACTTGACGCCCAAGCGATTCCTCTCCGTGACCATAGGTTGCTTCCCCTGAAATCATACCACGGGGGAGACAAGCTTAATTTTTTAGATTAAGGCATGGTCTGATCTAGCATTCAATAAGTACCAGCAAGACCTTTCGTTCCAAAGGGATGTCTCTTTGATGTTGTTCCCGCGCGCATTCTTCAGGCTGTGGGCATATCGACAGTGTGGAGAGGCTGTGCGGGTTGGGCCCACAGTGGAAATCTGGGGCGATGGATCCAATCCGGGGTAAATGACTCCACCCTCACGCTTGGCTTATTTGAATCACGATAGAGGGGCAAAACCCGGTGAGACAGAGTGTCCTAGCATTCATGATTCCATCAGAGCCAGTTCTAGCTGATTTGAAGCCTGCTGACACTGTACTATAGGTTGCAGGGCCATGCTAGTCTCTGGAATGTAACTTTGCGACCGCCATATGATGGCCAGCCCCTTCGATTCGGTCGCTTTTGCCTTCTCAACGTTTCCTAAATGGCCCTCAGGGGCGACCTCGCCACTCAATAGCTGCTCTTTCCCTACCACCCGCCCTCCTACGTCCTCAAATCGAACTGGATAATCCTCGTCACAAAAGGGTTCACTTTTGTGCAGCGGGCATGCGAATGGAGACGCTAGAGCTTATCAACACGACTCGCCGGTCGCACAAATCTCCAAGTTGAAGCTGACACCTTTGATGAACTGCTTTCGGGTTGTCTTGTCGGTGTCAGAAGATCCTCTCTGCTTTTCCCGGTCGGGTCTTGTCACAGAATAACCAACGATAACGCTCGACAACTTTACTCGGTGCAAATACTTCGCGATGTCGTTGGCAACTGGCAGGAAGGACTACCGGCCTAGCAAAGTCCTCGGCATAACATACCATCGAGCTATCCAAGGGAAACACTGTCTACCGATGACATTTATGTCATGGATATGATGCTGGGAGGGAGTCTTGTGAAAGTGTCTGGTTTCTTGGTGGCCAGACGCAGTCAAGATTATGCCAATTAGGTTTCATTGACTTGGGACCATTTGGGCATGAACACTCCTTGGTTGAAATCCGAGACCTTCTTTTGGTGACCACCTGGACATCCCACTGACATCCTAGTATCCGGAATATATGCTCAAGATCCCATAGTTGACATGCGGGAGGTCTAGGTCTCGCTTCCTGACACACTGTCACGACCAAGGGAGGTTCAAGCGTCAAACTTGGTGGCTAGGCTTGGATATCTTCCAGTTGACCTTATCTTGGCTCAGATCAATGGCTCAAAGATACTGCAGCTCACCGGAGCCGTCATATTCCTGTTCTCGGGTCTTCGAGTTGACTGCTTCGGTACTTCGATATGAAATAGGTGGACAATTAGGTCTAGATACCAGAGTATGGGACATACACTCGTCATTCTCGCACAAGCTTGGCCGCTCAGGCTCCTTACGTATTCTAGTTACATGCTTGTAGTGTGAACCTTCCGAATGGCAGTCGAGTTGAAGAAACCACCTCAGCTTGAAGGCCCCTCTTAAGGTTTCTTTATTTATGTACAAGGGATTGTATAGCAGCTATACAGTGAGAGCAATATCAATATGCAGTCAAAATCCAAGCTTGACGATCATTACTCCGTTTCTAGAAGGGTCTGGTTGATGTCACGGGGAACACGGCAGACCTTGCGTGCGTCCTCGGGCATAGTCGTCCAAAGGACCTGGCGAACCTCCTTGCCCACCTTCTCAATCGCATCCATAGCCCACAAGACATCAAGATGTTCATATTCATCAATGATCTTCGAATGAACGAGTCGCACATGCGGCTCAGAGCCAGATTGCAACCGATCAAGAAGCTTCCGACCATCCACCAGGGAATCAGAACCACCAATCCATAACGCAAATGGGGGAACTTGGGGACCGAACCAAGAATTATTTTTCGGGCCACCAAGACAAGCGTCGGCGGGGTCATCGCCGTGGTCAGTGCCGGTTTTCCTACCACATTGACGATCATTTTCCATCTCATCCGTCGTTGATAAAATACATCTATGCTTTGCAAAACTTTCGCTTCCAAGCCACCACCGCATGGTCTCTGCACTGACGTAGACAGGTGCGAATTGAAACATGCGGTGGCGAAGATCGCGTTCCCAGCGTGCATCGGACCAGCCGAAAAGGAACGAAAATACCCAATAAGCGAGTGTTCCGTATATTTTAGGGTGGACGACTCGGTGCACAGTCATCATGAGTGGGATGAAAGAATGGATTCCAAAGAAGAGGCGGAACATATCTGGCGACATGATCGACATGAACCGGAAATATGATTTACTGACGAGAGGCCCGGCATATGCAGCCGGTGCAAGAGCACAGAATACTGATAATCGTTCTCCAAGTTCGGGGCGATGTTCCTTGGCAAGGGCAACAAACGTTTGGGTCGTGCCCTGTGAGTGACAGACTAGGCCCAGTTTTTCGAAACCTGTCTCGTAGAGCACGCGCGAGGTCAGAGCTGCTAGATCGAGAGTACCGAGATGTCGGATATCCCATGACCACATTCGCGGATCCGAGGTTGACAGGCTGGTATGTTCGGGGTGTAATCCACACCGGTTATTTCCCAGCCATACATCGTAACCGGATTTGCAGAGGTGGAAGGCAAGGCTGTCGTCATCATTGGTGCAGTAGGTACCGGAACTTTGAAGAAGGCCGTGAATCAAAAGTACGGGATATCGCCGATTGGAATTTGCGCGTGGAGAATCAAACTTCTTCGGTTCGCCAAACACCGAGGGTCCACGTTCGCGCCTTTGCTCCGCAGAGAGCGCCGAATACTCCTGTGGGTTGTACACATGCCACAAGGTAATTATGAAGCCGTCCTCGGTCTGGACTCGGAAAGATTCCACATCGAGACCGACTCGTCTGGCATAGTAGGCGACGTCGCATACGATCTGATCTTTGCCTCCTTCCAGTGGTGGGCATTCCTGGGGTCCTTGCTCCTCATCCACATGCTTCTTCTGCTGCCGGATTACCCACTTTTTGTCTGATTCTGCTCGCGCCAATCTGCGAATATGCTCCTCGGTTTCGAAGACCCTTGCCGTAGGTTTCTTGTGGCCCTTTAGTCGAGATATCGCGTCGGATACTGCCGTGGCAGCTGTGCAAGTCAATGCGCCGAGGAAGATGAGGGTCAAGAACCCGAGCGAGAGAAAGAACGAGACAGTTCTTCGTACATAGTACCACATCTTTCGAGCTGGTGTCGGAGGACAGTAGGACGGTAGCGGTGGAAAGAGAGGGTGTTCACCTAAGTCTCCTGGAAGAACCATGTGACAGGGCTGGCCGTGCTTTTCAGCATCTGTCACCTGGCACCCCAACTCGACCTGCCCATTTATCCCATCCCCACTGCCGGATTTTGAAGGAGAGTATTGATCGAGTGTCGTCTCGTGGGTCGTTTCGAGAATGTGTTTACTCCGAGTACCCCCGGCAGAGGGAGTAACGAGTGTCTCCAGAGGAATGGTGACCGACATTGGCGCGGGATCAGGTAATCGACATTGAAGAGCTAGAACACATCTTGCATCCTGCTACGGGGAGATCAGGTGGTCCTGAATTGAATTGTGCAACATGAACCTCGCGGGGAAGTTGAACTTGCCAGGGGAGTCCCTCGGCTTCGGGGAAATGATGTCACGTGAAATGCGGGTGCATCATGTGATTTTGCCTGAGGCAGAAATCTTTAAATAGAACCAAACACATCTGGAATACATACATACTGACACCTTCAATTCTAGATAGCTTCACCCAATCACGATCTGTTGCAACGTCTACGTTTATCCCGCATGATCTGTCATAGCAGCACTCAAGACCTCTTAGCAGCTTATGGCCCGGTGTTTCTAGTGAGGCTTTCCAACCCCCCTCCATAAGCAAACCATTACTAGCTCTGCTCGCTCGCGCGTACACAACAAGTGTCGCGAGACCCTACAGCTCAAACAAGCTACTTTCCCCGCTTCTCGAATATAGCCTTTGGAGACGGTCTGTCGCGGTGCTTTCACTCCGCAATCCTCTCGCGTATTTCCAAGGAAGACCAAACTATCCGTTGCAACACCCTGCCTCGCCTCACTTCGCCAAGAGATGCATCTCAGTCCTGCCAAAGCGCAGAGGATATCGTCAAGGTCTCAAAAGGGGCAACAAATAACATCTAGCACTTGCGGCCACGAGACCGTATTCTCTTCAAGACTTCATCGTGAAAAGCGTACTTCACGTTGAGTATTCAAGTCGTGAAAGCTCCCACGAGCATCCCGCACTCACAGACTCTCCGATACTCACCAGAGGCTCCGAAGAGGACCATTTCTTTCTCTCGTCTGATCTACAGAATAAATCGGAAGTCGAGATGGCCGATATTCAGCCCCCCTCCAAGGGCCGTATTGGTCACGAAGGACAACCCCAGGCGCAAGGTCAGCCGTATGCTGATCAACCACAAGTCAACAAGGAGGATAACGGTATCCAAGCCAAAGGACAACAGAAGCAGCCACGCCGACACACGCGTGAAGAACTTGAACAGTTTTATTACGAAATGATTAATGGTGGACCCGGGATAATAGTCACACAGGCATCCCACCTACCGGATTGCGATATTGATCTGCCAGAGGTTACAAAGAAACTCGGAAGACGGAAAGGGTAACCTTAACATAGAGCTACTAGTAAGTACTAATACTAGTTGTACTAGTATGGTATCATTTAAGTAGAACCAACCGGACTGCGATTGCCTGTTCTCGGCTCCTTCTCCCAGTTCTTTTTTTTTCAAGTTCAAACGGGGTTGTTTATTGAGATGGTCGTCCCCTCCCTCTTGTTAGCAAGCCAAAACATAAGACATCTCCCATTCTCCTCATTTCTCGAGTAGAATCTGAACTTAGAATTAGACTCATATTTGACTGCAAACACCAAGTTGACCAAATGCTACTTCTCGATCAATCTTCCACTTGTCACAACATTCAGTAAGCCTCCCGAGATATTCTCAAGATGCCTACTAACGAGGTATGCAGAGATAACAGAAGCTCCCGAGCCTCGAAACAAATGACACCCAAATAGGTAGCAGCCCAAAACACATATGATCTGCTGGAGGATAAGAGCGCCGGAATATGCCAGTGGAATTGCATCCGATACTATTGCTTTCAAGCACTGATGCTTCCCCGGACGGTCAATGGGATCCTCCGACTCGGAGATAGGGATCCTGATGACAGTTTGTACCGGTATTGCGGTCGAAATCGGACGACTATTTAGCTGGGACTTGGAGACGAAGTCAAAGCCGCATAGACCTTCACGTGGCTGATTGCACAACAAAAAATTGCCGAATTTGCGCTCGTGAGCACCGCGGCTGGATAGCGACCCTCCTCCTCTTGGTCTTGATCGAATTGGCATCAATCATCATGTTGATACTTCTGTCCATGGAACAACTCGCCGAGTTTTGCTTTGTCTTATACCGCAAGACCTCCAACATCACACTCGACCAGTGCCCATGGACCCTCTGCTGGTGATCGAAGCGCATGGCGTGCCGTTTTTCGCCACGTACGTGAATCATATAGTTATTGTGCGGACAGTACTGGCGAGCAATAGGATGGTCGATTGATTCAATTGATCATTGCATTGCAGCAAAAATATGACAAGCTTCAGCGAAAGTACAAAGTTGAGATCACCGCACTCCAGGATGATCGGGAGGCGGACTGCGCAGATATCCGGGGGCTGCAAGCAGAGCTGGCCATAGAAAAAGACCTCCGCCGGAAGCACTGTTAGGAACCTTTGGGTCCCTGAGGAGCTTCAGAAAAATTTAAATGTGTTTGTTGGTGTATAGTAACATATCGAGATGGGGCGAGTACATCTTGCGAGTTCTTTTGGGGTTTCGGCGCTGGTTTTCTTTTTCCTTTTTTGTAAGATAACAAATGGACAATTGCCGATTTCACGAAAAAAAATTCAAAGAAGTGTGACCTAACGCGGTACCCTCCGAGTCAGTAAATCAAATATCAAGGTGGAGATTTACTGAATGCCAGATGAAGTTGGCGTGGGGGGGCTGTTGTGGATATTTCCCTAGCGGTGGGTATTTTCCAATGGAGTCTACTCGTAGTAAATGTCATATTTGTCTCTGTTGATGGTCTCATGGCATTAAATTCTTTAATAAATTTTCTCCCATTTATAGAAAATGATCATTGGCAAGTTCTACAGTGTCATATATTATCTCGAAATGACTTCTAACGTTCGTTTTCTATAGCTTCTCAGTACCTTGCGCGCGCCGTAGCTCGACACACCGGAACGAGGCTTGTGGAAATGCGAAGGCTGCATGTTTTGAATTTCCAGTACGTGACAGGCTAACTGGCCCTTTAATCAATAGAACGATGAGTGGAAATGCTAAATATCTATGAAAGAAAGCGCAACTCAACGAACAAAATCGCACCCACAACCACACCCCAGAGCCCTCTCGCCGCCCAACGACTACGCCGCCCTATCTCACCACACATGACAATATACAAATGGAACTATGTTTCATCGGCCTCAGCATTGCAGCGAATTTCCGGGATTCTGCTTTCAGGAAGTCTGTATGCTTGTTTCACGTTCTACCTGGCTGCTCCGGCGATGGGAATACACTTTGACTCGACTTCCATAACAACTGCATTTGGATCTCTACCAATTATTGCGAAGGCTGTTATGAAATTCGTGTTTTCGATGCCTTTCACATGGCACGGATTCAATGGCGTAAAGCATTTGATCTGGGACACTGGTCGATGCCTCACCAGGCACAGCAGCGGAAGAATGACGTGGTTGGTTCTTGCATGTAGCACAAGTGCATCGCTTGCTTTGACATGGATTTCGCTGTGAATGACTTCATAGGGTGAATCGGGGTGTTTGACCACCGAAACATGAAATTCCCGTTAGTCAGTGAAAATTGAGTGCTGACGCCTCATGGCTCAGGTATTAGTGTTTTCAGTCACCCTGCGTTCCAATGTAGACAACCTCAGATAGCTTCATCCCAATATCACCACCGTCGCTTATCTTCATGTTCTCTCTCCTTAATATTCCGAAACCTTGAAAAATTCTTTCCTGCATTAGTCCGAAGGCCCTTTTAAAAGCTCATGTATATGTGCCATCGAGTCTTTTGCAATATCATTGGCCTCGGCTAGCGGTCTTCGAAGTAAGAGTCTGGCAAAGACTACTAAATCCGGTGCGTGAATCATGAAACCAGATCGATACATCTCTTCTTCTGTCAAGCGGGACTTTAAATGTTCCCATAATTCTAGCCATCGCGAAAGAGCTCTTTCAATTTGACTGACTTGATCATCCGTCCTAAGCAAGCTTGATCGCATATTGAATATAATGGGGTAAAGTTCTTGATCGGAGAGGGTTAGGCAGTTAGCTTCAAATCGCACAAGCCCCGCCTAAGAGTAAAAGCATGAGTCATACTTGATATAACGATGAACAGAGCAAATATGTTCAAATTCTGGAAGCGCGTGTCTTCCTTTCCAGCCCAGTTGTCGGATAAAAGCTCTTGGATAAATCGATTCAAAGGCGGAGGTCGCTGATACTTCCTTTCGTTTGTGATCCATTCCTCCCAAGTCGAAGTGTCCGAGATATCTACCCCGGCATCTTCAGCCGGAAGGTCAAAGCCAAGTTCGAACGGAGAAAGGAGCGGTGGGGAATTGAAGAAAATGATAAAGTGCGTATCAATCATGGCGATAGATGCCATCATCCTGATTTAGGTCAGTATTTGTGTTGCTTGGCAGTAGAAGAATCTTTCAACCGCACCTAATGCTGAGTTCATTTCGAAAAAATACTTCATGACTGGAAATTTCGGAATCATGCCAAATATTCTTTATTTGCGTGAGGCCAGTAGCCCGCGCGACAGATACCAAAGCAGGGTAGCGATGAATTCGGATCCGGCGTCTGCTTTCTGGATCAGGACTGGATATTTGAATGAGAATCATCATAATTGCCGCTTGAATGCTCTCAACATCACTCTTCCTCAACATATCACATCTAGATTCTCGCTTTTGATAGACAAGGCGTTGAAATGAGGGGTCGTCAAATACAATGAACTCCGCCTTATCCGCGTATTCTATAGCGTTGTATTTCGCGTCCTTGAATCCTGCGCAAATAGCTCCCATCAATAGCATCGTTAAAAGTAAAGGTGTAGAGGTGGAGGAAAGGTCGAAGAAGGATTTCAAGACAATTCGCGATCGTGGACGAACGGTGCCATCGAAGTAAGCGACGACGAAATCATATATATTTTCTTTCGTGAAAAATGCCTTTGCTCGATTGTAATAAGCATTCTTACTAGTATCGACATGGCGAGAAGTGATGGATTGAAGAACCCGGGATGCTGCGCTTTCACACTCATTATCATCTTCCAAGCCATGAGGCAGGAAAAGTGTTTCACAGCGAGCTTGGTCTTGGTGAGATCCCAAGAAAAGATTCCATGACTCTTCAAAGAACAGATCCGGTCTATCATCCTCTAGGAGTAAACTTGGAACGGCCGGGTCTCGCGTCTCATCTTTGGACTCTGCAGTTGCAAGTGCCGTGAGTACGCTATTGACCTCCCCCGGGTGACGGCTGCTCGTGGCCGAATAGTTCAGTAAGAAAGGAACAGAAAGTTTTGGTGCGAGGAATCTAGGCTCGTTATCCCCAGTCCGATTAGTTTGACTCCTGGTTGATACACGACAAGTATCTGGTCGTGAGTCAGATTGCAAACCCGGGTGAGCTTCAAGTCGGGTGTAGGAACAATCCGTTCCTCGAGACCGACATGAATTGCAGGATAATCCACCGTTACATACAATTCGATTCTTCGCGCAGTTGTCGCAAGCTTTTCGTCGGCGGCCGGGCTTGTTCAGCATAGGTATCTGTGATCCTATTTCGAGGCAACTTTGATAGTGTCTCCGAAGAGCATCGCTGTGGCAGTAAGCCCATGATCAATATCTACTTCAATGAATCTAGAGAAAGAGACATACTTTCGCGAATACTCCCGGCCGCAAAAATCGCATTTTACACGAGAATGTGAAGCATCTGCTTGGGAATAGACGTTAGACGAGGTTGGCAATGGACCTCGGTCGGGTATACTGACGCGATGCTTCGTGGCGCCGGAGGTGGTTCTTGGTTGAAAAATTGTGGTCACAAATACCACACGAAAACCTTGAAGCTGGCATTCTGAGTAGAAATTATTGGAACAGCCATGCTGGGATGAATTAACTGTATCAGAGCCAGTGGAGACAACGACAGGACGACATGTGAAGAGCGGTGAGATTTGCCGCATTCTTCTTGTCTCCTTGGCCCGATCAACTCCGTTCGTGTCGTGGAATATTCCATCAAAACATGCACTGACTCACGTTCAAGGTCCCTTCCTGTTAAACACTTGAAATCCTGTATTTCTCCAATTCTAAATAGAAAGTTGTTGCTGAGTGATCCTTTAAAAAAATTACTACTTCAATCCACCAAGACAAACTACAAGAGAAAAAAACGAAATGGAAAAAAAGAAAATTAGATATATTCCATCAATCGTATATCCAGTTTATGCCATATCAAACAATTTATCCATAAGACTCGGGAAAAAAGCAATAGTGAGTAACCACGAGTCATTCCGCCAAAAACAGCAGAAACCAATGCCCAAAAAACCACCCTAAAATAAAAGGGCGCAAACAATTTAAACAATCATATCCGTAATAACACATCTAAACCTCAGTCTTAGAAGCAATGCTCTCAAAGTGAGTAGCATGTTCACCACTCCGCTTCTCATTAGCCTCCGTCTCGAGGTCAGCCAGATTACCCGCCTTAGTGGCACCCGCAACATCACGAACATCAGTATAATGCACCGAAGGAACCCAGCCAACAGACTTCCACGCAACAGGGACCTTAGCGTAAAGTTCATCAACCTGCTCCAGGGAAAGACCCTTAGTCTCATAGATACAAGTGTAAACAAAGATAGCGCAGATAAAGCAGAAACCGCCCCAGATAAAGAAGACCTTAGACTGGAGGTTTGCATTGCCGGGTCCATCGTTCACCATGTAAGGTGTCGCGTAGGCGATGGCCCAGTTCAGGAGCCAGTTTGTTGCGGTTGTGATGGAGAGACACTTGGCGCGGGCCTTGAGGGGGTATAATTCACCGGTGACGACCCAGGCGACGGGACCCCAGGAGCTGGCGAAGAAGAAGATGTAGATGCAAACGAAGGCAATTAGGACTTTATTGGAGACGTCGGAGGAGGTGGCTGTGCCGACGATTGCGACGATTAGTTGTGAGACGCACATGCCGACGGCTCCGAACATGAGCAGGGGGCGACGACCCCATTTCTCGACCATGTAGAGGCCTGGGAAGGTTGAGAGGACGTTGATGATGTTGGTGATTAGGGTGATGATGAAGGAGTTTTGGATGCCGGAGTTCTGGAAGAAGGTGGTGCCGTAGTAGACTGTGATGAGTATAGTTAGTATTTGGATGTTGGTTTTGTTGGTTGGGGGTGAGGTGAGGTCACGTACAGATGAAGTTGACACCGGCGAGTTGCTGCAGAGCCTGGACGGCGCAACCAGTGGCGAGACGCTTGCCAAGAGAGCCGCGGACGATCTCCCAGTAGGTAGCCTTTCCGAGACGAAGCTCGAACTCGTGGTTTGCTTGGATCTCAGATAGTTCCTCGATAACAGCGGAGTCGTTGATGTCGACGCGGCGGAGACGAGCAAGGGCCTTGGCAGCCTCCTCGTGTCTGTCCTGCTTGATGAGGAAGCGAGGAGTCTCGGGCAGAATGATCATTCCAGCAATTAGGATAATGGCCCAGGCAAATTGAATGGCAACCGGGATCCGGTAGCAGCCGGTATCATTGCGTTCCTTGGTGGAGTTGTTGACGATGGCAGCAAGCAGCAGGCCAAAGGTGATGGCCAATTGGTAGGCGCCGACAATAGTACCACGAATCCACTTGGGAGCAGTCTCGGACTGGTAGAGAGGGATGGTGGCGGACAGAAGACCGACACCAAGACCGGCGAAGAAACGACCAGCCACGAACAGAGGGATTGCTGTGGCGGCAGTTTGCAGAATAACACCAAAGACAAAAACGAAGGTGTTGAGGATCATGGCAAGGCGACGACCGAAGTGGTCGGCCATCGGGGCAGCAAAGAGGGCACCGAAGAATGTGCCTGCGGAGAGGAGACTGACGATCATACTAGACTGCGAGCTAGTTACATCGGGGAGATTATCCTTGGGGTTTGTGTAGCCGGTCGAGAACAACTCTCGCCAGTATTTCATGGCGAGGATACCACTGATGGTACCTGTATCATATCTGAGAAGCCAGCAGGTTAGTATCCAATGCCCTGGTCGTCTCACAGTAGGAGGAGGAATAACAACATACCCAAAAAGAACACCACCAAAGGCAACAAATAGACCGATGATAATGGCCGGTGCCGCTGAGCCGACGGCATCATCGGGCTTCTTGATAGCGAAACCCATAGTGAGGATGGTCGTGTGATAAGGCGAGGGCGAGAGTAACTGATCAAAGTGGCGATGATAGTGTAGTGTATAGTAGAACCAACACAGTCACGAAACAGAGAAGACCGTGGGGGAAACCAAAGACAATCAACAAACTTCAAGAAAAAGAAAAAGAAAAATAAGAGGATGAACAGTGCTTCTTGTACTCCACACCCGCAAACCAAACCACGAGGGCCAAGAGCCAGCAAAATCCGGGCAGGATCAGCCTCAGCAGTCCTTCATCCGAGAAACCTCCCGAAACCAGGACCCTACATAGAACAGAAAAGAAAAAATACCATACGATACCCGCTCTAGGCCCGGGGATGTGGGTGTGGGGACGCAATTCCCCAGTACGTACATTAGTGATCCATTGCGGCCAAAGCGAGACAGGCAGGCAAACAGGAAGGCAGGTAGGGACTGGGTAGCCCCATCCCTCCATGTTTTCCAACGCATGGAGAGAGAGGAACAAGGTTGGGGATGGCGAGACCGTGTGGAGAAGACATGGCCACTGAGCCAATGCGGCCACCCATCAGAGTGGAGATCTCGGGCGTCGCCGAGAAATTATTGGGTGGGAAGGAAGATTAGCTCTCTGCCCTAAACCGTGGTCGGCCGGAATTGTTCGAGAAGAGGATGGGGGAAGTCAGGGTAAAGGGGAATGCGATCGGCATCCGGCCGTGTTTCACGGGCTGGCAGCTGGTTGCGGAAATTGCCACTTTAATCGGAGTCAATTCAGGTACTCACATGAGCAGCAGACAATTGGGGCTTCTATTTTATCCCTTGATTGACCAAGATCAGAAAGAAACTGCGAAGTAATTGATTTTGTGTATTACAGAAAGAGTTGATATGGCGCCGAGGAACCCGCAAACGGGCCAAGAATGGATCGGCGAGCCGGATTCCGGAAAAGACAAACGGACATCCCTTGCTGGTTCAGGCGTGGGAGGTCTATTTCTGGGACTGGGGCAATTTGGCAGTGTGTTGTTAGTAGGAATCAATTACGTGAAAATGTACGGAGTACTCCGCATAGAATAATACGAGATGTACGGAGTATGAAATGGACAGCATCAAACCACGGATGGAGTAAAGTAGAGTAAGTCACGATTAGACTCACTAGTGATGTATTCTCAGAGATGTCTTCTCCACGATTGGCCATCTAATCTCCGGATTTTCGCCCTCCACAACCCCAGCCAAACTGATTTCTCCCCAGAATCTCCAGACGCTCACCGATCAACTGCTGGG